TGAAGACTCGCTCTTCTTGCGGTTTGAGATAAAACTAAATAATCAATAAATCAGTAATAATCAACATTACTAAGTCAGGCAGGAAATTGAAGAAGATATTTGGTCACAAATAATTAACTTAAAAAAGACCAGTTTTTCTGCTTGTTGTTATTTATTGAACTTACTGGTGGCCTTTTAGTTGTTAGATTAAGCAAAAAATGATTTTTTTTCCTAAGTTCATCCTTAAAATGAAAAGTTTTCTTAAAATGAAGACTAACAATGCTCAATATCATTTGACATAATTCTATTGCTCGAGACCAATTCTTGATAGTAAAAAATTACCATTATCATATGCCATACGGAAAGAAATATTTTCCCTGTATTTATAGTGGGTAAAGTGATATGTGCATTAGTATGTATAGTACTTATTAAAACAGCAGCAATTAACACAATATCGGTAATACGTATTACAAAATTTTTTCTATTTTTCGAATTATTATTTTTAAATTGAAAATAAGAAGGAGATCATCAACAATCTTTAATACGTGTGAGAAGACATAAATATAAAGTTTTAAATCCGAAATGATAAGCGTGATATTTGACAAAACTAATGGTAATTTTTTCACGGCATGTCTCCAGAGGAAACAGATTAAGTCTACATATGAAAGAATCATGGAAAAAGATAGATAAACTTTACTTTGCTATTAGCCAGTTGAGATTACTCATGCAAGTTATACTTTGGTAGAAATGTTTTAGAGCTCCAATGGCATCGGGCTAATCACTAGAGGATTTAGTGGTTTTTACCTCCATTTTGTACAAACGCTAATTAGTTTCGCTTCAAAGAATTTTTCTTGGAGAAGAATATAATCTTGTTCTTTAAATAGGTGTTCTCTTGTCTTCTAGAATCAAGGCTAGGAAGTTGAAATTGAAAGAAAAAAAAAGTTGCACATCCACAGAGTGGATTCTGTGCTAGAAATTCGTGAAGTGGTAACCCGAATTATGAAGAAAAGTGAGAGCCCCGTAACTAATTATGTTCACGTAGTATACCAAGATAGCACAAAATTCCCCAAACTGTTTTATAATTTTTTTTTGTAAATCAAATGAATAATTTTAGGATAAAACTGTAAATTTTTAATGAAAAATTTAAAATAGTTTTTGAGGTTCAACAACTAGACCTATATATATTTTGCATAAAAACTAAGAAAAATACTTCTATTTAATTTCAGAAATAAATTAAAATATAACAAGATGACAATTTGACCGCAATCAGCGCTATTTTAAAGATTGCTTGCTTTTTTAAATTAAAAAATTACCGAATTCTCGCAAATTAAAGCGATACATACCATTAAGACATCTACTCCGCGAAAGTTGATATTACGCTGCCTCTAAATCGTCTTTCATCAGCTTTCGGACTGACAAGGCTAATTAAAATTCTATGCCAGTTTGCTCCAAAAATTGTGACTAAAATGCATGAATATAAGACTAAATATATGTATGTTTATTTTATCTTTTCAAACGAAGTTATATTCGATGAAAAAGCAAATGCTACGCACTAAAATCATTCATATCTTCCTTTATAAAAGAGTTAGAATCAAATAAATTTACCCCAAAATTTTGCGAGTTATGTTTTGACAAACAAACTAATGACATAATGTTTGAGCGAAATAACAAAAAGAAGAAACGTATAAACTTTAACGTTCATTTACTTAAATTCACTAAAATGCCACTCAGCCGGATCTTGGCCACTGAGCTCCTCATTTCAATAATGCCTTTTACGAATAATAAATCAAATTTTATATTTTATTTTATAAGCGTCGTGGAACAGCCGATCCAATTTTTTGGTTTACTAATGTTCAACTCCGTATCCTTATAATTTTGAATCCAATCCAGAAGACAAGGGAACTCCTGGATCAAGTATTGGAAGAAAATTACCTTCGTGGAGGACTTTTTTATGGGACCACGTCTCATTTACGTTACATGGTGAGAAAAACCACGAAACTCTCACACGGTTAGCCTGACGGCAAGGGTCCCATGATCCATCTACCACTGAGGATATTTTACGTCAGCGCTGTGGTCGATGTCCAATTCGTATCGACCAGCCATCGTGGGGATTCGAACCAGGATCACCCCATTGAAAGGCGAACTCTCTATCCCTTGAACCATCACGGCTCAATAAATCAAATTAGCAGTTTTTTCCAAAATTAAACTGTGAATTTATTTGTTATTATTAATGATGAGAAGCAAATAATAGAGATAAAATTTCAAACCAGTTCTTCAAAAAATATGAGTAGTTTATTTTATCAAATTCACTTGATGTACTGAATTTTAAAGTGATTTCAGAACTTAGTTACAAAAAAAAAGCTTTACAATTGACCAGAACAAGAAGTAAATTGAAGTTGGTTGTCCCACTTGACGAAGTTTTCTTGCATACTGCTTCCTTAACCCGTTTCAATCACCTGTCTCAAATCTACACCAGTTTTAAATCTTTTTTTGAAGGCTAAAGAAGACACAAACTGCTCCAAAATGACGCAAATTATCGAGTGACTGATTCACTCAATAATTTGCGTCATTTGTAAAAATATGCCATAATAATAACATGAATATGGCAAATAATAATAGCATAAAAATATGACTTTAGTATAATCCAAAAATTTTTCTTACTTGGAATAATTTTTACTAAATTTTTTTTTTCCACATAAATATTGCAGAAGAAAAAATGGTTCAGATATTCATCGAAAATTTGAAATAAAATCATATAGTTATGATATATGACATAGAATAATGAATATAATTTTCAGGAAAATTTACATCCATTTAGGAATAATTATCAGGAAATCAATAAAGTTGGAGTTTTCTCCATTTAAAATTTTATGCAACCATGAATCATCCCAAGTCCCATTTTTTAGAATTAGTTTTCATGCTTACTCTCTATAGAAAAGTATTGGATCATACATTTTTAGCATTCCAATTATGTAAATTTAAAATATCACAAGATAAAGGCAATTTATTTTCTATAGTTAATCCTCGTAAACTAGCAAAATGCTTTCAAACAAATCACATGTGAGTATGGAGGACTAAAACTATTGTCAAAAAACCACCACAACCAAGTATATAACAAGAAACTATTTTTAAGCTGTTTTAACAATGCAGTTAGATTATAATTAAATTGGTTACAAGTTTGGTCAAATTATACATCTGCATTGATCATTCTTCATGCATCATTTTTCAACTACCTGTCTTATAAGATATTGAAGGGGAACAGTGCGTAAAAAAATAAACGGACTACTCTCAATAATTTTTGATCTAATGATAGGATCTTCTCGTTCTAGGACTTAATTTTAACGGTTTGAAGGGTTTCAAATATGCCAATTAATTAGTGCAGACGATAATTTAAGCCATGAAATCCGACACAAAAACGTACTTTCTCTGAATAAACATAGCTTTATTCGATGGATGTGGATTTCTGATCCTCAAAATATAGGAGGTAGCCGCAATTAGGAAAATATGGTCCCAATACTTTTGTCAGGAGAGCAATCCAAAGTTTGGACCCCCTAATGTTCATTTTATTTTATTAAACTTTATTTTTTGCTTATTTCGCCACATCTCGCGAATTTTTTAAGTGAATTGAAAAATCTTTGCACACAATTATAAAATTCGTTTATCCAAAGATAATTCCATGCAAAAAATAAATTTTAGAAAATATTTACTATTTTTTTATTATTTTATTTAATAACAGTCGTAAAACTTTTGAATATAGGAAGGAATATAAATTTTTATATTTTTTAAAAGTATCTTAAATTTACAAAATGCCAAATTTTGAGCGAAATTGGTTGAATAGTTCCAGAGAAATCGAATTTTAAATATACGACTTCTTTAACTTCTTAACTTTAACTCGTACCTTAAAGTATCGTTTGCAGTGAGTAATTAGCATATTTGAGGTAATCACCTCGAAACGTTAAGATTAAGTCCTAGAACGTGACGATCTGATTAGTAGATCAAAAGTTATTTCGGGTGGTTTATTTTTTTCTCTTTTTTTGGCTCACTGTACATTCAGTAGGGGTTGCAAATTAATATTCAAACGAGGAAAATATAAAATCGCTACAGTAATAGAATAAATCCCGACCATAGATGTTAGGACTAAAAACAACAAAACCCATTTGATTTCCAGAGAACTTTCTTCTCTGAGGAGCCAAAAGTTGATTATTAAACTCACTTGCAAGTTTCATGAAGCAATCAAAGTAGTATTGATACTTTTCACTAAACATTCCTCACAAGGTATTCGGTAGATTTCGATACTGTTATTGTTTCTTTCTTGTTTGAATATTTTTTTCCCAATGCCCACCCAGNAAAAAAAATTAACAAGCTAACAATAAATAACTAGCAAAGAAAAATTAACAGTTCTACTTAAACTAACATCTTATATCCCTAATATAAATTACTTGTCATCTAATCTGCAACAATGGAAGTCACACTGATGTCACTTTAAGTTGAATTACGCTTATAACTGAGACATTGCAAAATGCACTTTTTTTTTCTCAGTAAAAAAAAGAGTTTTGAGTTGATAGTATTTAATATTATTTTTTACCTAATAATCACGAAGTCAAAACTATTTGTCAGCACGTCTATGACTTCATTAAACAATTTTCTAGAAAAAAATGGCACGCAGGTGCATAAAGGTTCGCCATCCCTGCCCTAGACTATTAGAATACGAGACTAACAGTTAAGCTTAAATGGCACAGTACCCACAAAGATTACAATGAAAATTCTATCAATGTATTTAAAGAGACGTCTAGATGAAGCAGGTAAAAAAAAAGGTTTTTAAAAGCCTTACAAAACGTTCGTTTTTTTAGTAGTAAAGATTTATTTATTATTACTAGGATGACAAACAGTGCCCTATTATAATTAAAAAAGCAAGGGTTATTACAAAATCACGAAGTTCATAACATTTAATAAATTTTTATTTTTTTCCATTGTTTCATAAACATAAAACATTTGCGTTACTTTTCATCAATTGTGTTTACAAATTAGTTACACGTCCCATAAATAACACCATATCATTCCTCTTATCTTGTATTAGAAACATGAAGGGATGATCTGCAACAAACGCAGGGTCTGGTGTGAGCCTAACGACACCGATTCCAGTAGCTGCTGCAGCTTCACTTCCTTTTTCATTGACTTCTATAGCTGCCTTGTGTACAACCTGGTTGACAAATAAACCACGTTTTTCTGTTATTCCCGAGAAATCAGACAAACTAGGATTAAATATGTCTTTGGCACCAAGAGCATTGAAGTCTGAAGACATCTCGTGAGAGTATTTAATCTTAAACTTCGGCAATGCTAGATTAAGTGTTGTAGGTCTAAGCTCTTTCTGATAAGTCTTGATATCTTCTGCAGTGAACTTGTCTTCTCTTTCTTGAAGTCCATCCTGGGCATTTGGTAATAAAATGATCATGCTTATGTCTTTGCCTTTGTAAGGTAACTCGATTATTTGGCATTCGTCGTTTCTGAAGTATGGGAATTTCTCCTTAACATGCATGAATGGAACACTCCTGAAATAAACAAGAGGTTAGTTTTAAAATTAAATTGTTTTAATAGCTTTTTTAATAATAATTATTGATTAAGATAAAAAGGGGATAATAAAATGATACACACCCAGTAAGAAAAAATCGGGAAAAAGATTTGAGGGTATTTGAAACAAAGCCTATTTTTCCTTCAAATTATCTATAGATTTTATTTTCTGCAGAAAACTTTCAGAATGAATTCTCTAAATTTTTTGCAAAATTAGGCAGAAAGTTTATAAGTTGCAGAAGGTGAAGGAAATAAAATTATCTTCTATCGAAAATCTTCAGAATGAATTTTTAAAATTTTCTGTAAAATATAGGCTTAAAAAGTAGGCTAAGGTATCTTCCGAAGTTATTTATTTTAGATCACAAAGTGTTCTCCCTCCACCTCCAAAAATATGTATGTTGTGATTCATCTTCCTCTCGGCACTTACCCCTTCATCTAATTTTGAATACCATCAGTGGCACCCAGAGATTATTATAGGAGACTGAGGATGCAGAATAGTATGTAATGTGCAAAAAAAATTATAAACTCCTTTCATCTTAAGAATTACGAAATATACAACTTTTTAGTGTCTGCCGCTGATAGTGGAGAGAACTGATTCATCGAATAATCAAAATATTAAAAAAAGTTGATAAAAGTGTAAGTAATTTGTTAAAATTATAAATAAATAATAAATTTATGATTGCTTCAAAATGACTCTATGAAATGTCTACAAAAAATCTGCATATTACTTCAAATTACTTATTACTCATAATCTGCATTAATCTACTCTTTAAGGAAAATTGAAACTTTCAAAATGACAATGAAATGTCTTAAAAAGGTACTCAGATATTTTATGGAAGAAGTAAAACCTTAGAAAATATCTGAAGATTTCTGAAGAAATGACTTAAGATATTTTTTTGAAGAGACTTTATTTAATAAAATATTTTTAGGTGATTAGAACTAATTTTTACAGCTACTTTACCTATCATGAAATATTTAATTCGGTTTACGAATATAAACAAAGAAAAAATTTATTGATTATTATCTTATAAAGTCAGCTGTAATAGATCAAAAAACTAATATTGCATATTTATGAAGTCACTTAATTAAATCAAACTATTTTTTTTAAACTTAGATGTTACTTTTCATAAAATAGTTATTATTTGTATTGATAATAAGTTCTCTGAATTTTGTAGCATCTATTTAATTAATTTTTTCAAAACTTTAGATTTCATAAAAATAGTTTGTAGAATTATACGATATATAAATTTTTGTTATCACGTATTTTATTTATTCATGTGCGTAGAATGTTTAAAACTTTTTTGATTGGAAAACGATTTGAAAAAAGATAAATCTGGATGTTGTAAGCTTCTAATAAGCTTTTAATTTAAACTAAATCTATACGACAGCAAAAAAAAAAAAACTCGGGAGATAATTTCGCAATTTTCAAATTAAAGCTAAATTTAAGCATTTTTCTGTCGTCTTGAAAACATCTAGTATGACGACGGTATTAAAAATTTATCGTAAAAAGGTTAGACATTAAAATGCTGAAAAGGTAAAAAGGAAAAACATCAGCAAAAAGCTTTAGAGTTTAGAATCATTAATCATAAAGTATAGTGTAGAAAACAAAGCGAGTTTCGCCAGATCCGACAGATCGCATCAGCTTGAAAACAATACATATTCAAAAAATGCATAACTCACCCATTATAACAGAGGAAGGACGTAAAAAAAAAAGAAATCGCTGAAGAACATTTATAAGAAAATAAAAAATAAAAATTTCAAGAGCTTAATTGTAAAAAAAACATTACACTAAAAAAAAAAGAAAAAAAAACACCATCCTACAAAATAAAAAAGGAGTAAAAGCAACTTCATTTGCCAATAAATGTGGCAAGGAGTCCCAAAGAGAATATGAATAATTGATGAAAAAATATTTTCTGAGAGTGTAGCGTATCTACCACTACAAAATTACAACTGCAATTCACTAGCATATAAGACGTGTTAACTCGACTCTATATCGGGGTACCTTTTCATAGATGAAGGTTGACATAGTCGATAACCACTCTCCCCACATTGGTGACCCAGACGTGATGCGAACACGCCTACCTTGACCGAAACTTCTACTTCGATATGAACACGCCTACCTTGATAGTAACGTCCACTTCAATCTGGAAACGTCTATTTCGATGGATGGACCACGTTGAACTTGCGACTTGTGACTGCGACATTATCCACCTCCTCATGCCGTTGCTTCTCAGTCTCGATCACACACGACGTATGCACTCGACTGCTAACGGCTACACAGAAGCGACTACGACCGTAAAGTCAATACACCATTCAGATTCAGCACTCAATCAGTAATCTTAATACAGCTCTTCCGGCTTCGCACAAAAAATAGCAATGACTCAACTAGTGGTATCCATACATCGAATTCTACCACTGGTGGGGGAGTACTGTAGCGTATCTACCCCTACAAAATTACAACTGCAATTCACTAGTATATAAGACATGTTAACTCGACTCTATGTCGGGGTACCTTTTCATAGATGAAGGTTGACATTGTCGATAATCACTCTCCCCACAAGAGTATCGCTATGACATCATACAACCTTTCTTTTATGTTGGCTTTGTTCTTGGCGTAGAAACCAAAAATGATTGGCTCAAGGAAAATAACTGTGCAATTAAACTAAGAATTATTCCACATAGATATTAACCATTCGAAGTAAAATTAATATTATAATAAACGATTATTTGAATCGTAAACAATTCATTAAAATATTTCAACCCAATATTGCGGAAGCAATACATAAAACAAATAGTTTATTTGACACGCAAACTAATAATTTGATATTGATTACATAAATTACATTAAAGAGGAAGTAATTAAGTCACAACAATTATTCTTAATTAAAATTTAATAAAAATATACCATATTAAAGTAACATAATGATATCAATTGCCAATTATTTAACATATGTATATTAATTTGCCAAGGTTATATGTAATTAAATATCCCTTTGTTATAAACATTCATATGTGGTTAGACAATACAAAACTTAGATACAACTTATTTATTTTTTCCAGGTCGTAGGAACACTGAGGTAGTCAACAATTTTAAATTTATTTTGTCACAAGGATAATTTTAAATGGTCTTTGTGAAAATTGGCATCATCTTAAAAGTTCCCGAGTCATGGTATTTGCGATTTGCATCTAAAATTTAAAAAAAAAAGCAATATAATACCCAAAAAACTGCTTAAATTTGCATCTACCTTGACATAATTTCTGTACTCGTTTAAGCGTTTCAAAGCTGGACACTACTCTGAACTTCTTGGTAATGCAATTACTATCACGTAAAGTGGCATTGAAAGCACCAGGCAAATCGGAACTCTGTCAAAGTTTAGATAGAGCACTATTATATTAACGCGATTTCCAGTTATTTCATAAATTTATTGATCTTAATTGTGATGAATTGTGATGATCTTAGCTAGTCAAACGTTTGAGCAAATCTGCTTTCTGAGTAATGAGTTTGCCTATTTTTAACTTCCTTCTGCTACGTTCTCTAAATTAGTTGTAATAGCTAGAAGTTTTTAGAGTTTTCGTCATAAAACTATTCATTCATGCATATTCCTGTATCATCGCTATTGTTTACATATCGGATCCGATGTTATATGTTTATCCCTTCATCAATTCGAAGGAAAAATGCACAGTGATAGATTTACATGGCATCATTAGTTGAGGACTGTGGACTAGAGTTCTAACCATACTTTTCTTTAAACATCACCTTTGTTGGTTAGGAATAACGCTCATGATGTAAATCAGTATAAAATACACAGGCTTTTAAAATTTCAGCTAGATGAGTAACATGAATTGCAGCTAGATGAGCGATTAGAATTTAAATTAGATGAGTGAATTGATGTTCAACTAGATGACGATTAGAATTTCAGCTAGATAATTAATTTGAATTTCAAGTTAGATGAGGGAATTGAATTATAAGTAGATAAGCAATTTAAATTTCAAGTATATTTGAGATAATTTAAGTTATGTAATCGATTTAAAGTTGAACTAGATGATCAATTAGAATTTCAGCTAGATAATTAATTTGAATTTCAAGTAGATGAGTGATTTGAACTTCAGGTAGATGGATGTTTAGAATTTCAGATTGATAAGCAATTTGAATTTAAAGTAGAAAGGAGATAAGAATTTGAGTTGTGCAAGCAATTTAACGTTCAACTAGATGATCAATTCGAATTTTACCTAGGTAATTAATTAAAAATTCAAGTAGATGAGCGATTTGAACTTGACAGCTTAAAACGCTCGCAGTGTCATGAAGAAATCATGAAATTAATAATAAATTGTTGATTCAAAGCATTAATGTTCACGAAGTTATTGTTTCAATTAAACAAGCACGAGTAAATTTTTATAAAATGTTTTCTTATATATAGATTTCTACAAATAGTTTATTTTTCGAAATTGTTTTAAAATCGTATATCTACATTGGAAAGTCCTTATATTAATAATTTCACCAACGGAGGATAAAGGATCGTATCTAAAAATAAAATATTGTTGTAATTTTAATGCTTCTAAGAAATGTTTGTAAACACAACCGTATAGAAAAGCTCAATAAAAGAATACTTTCATATAAAACATTATTTAAGACAAAGAAAAAAAAACTTACTTAACTTCATCATCTTCACCATGGTTGTAAAAATCTCCATTTAAAGTTAACTTTGGGTCGAACTGAATTTGCCATGTTCCTTTGAAGTATACAGCATTCAATATGAGCAATAAAGTTGATGGGCTTAAATTAGTCAAAAACTTGTCTATTTTCCCATTCGTTTGCTCTTTTACCCAATTATTCACATCTTTCAATATTTGGCCCGAATTTTCAGCAAAATCAACCACCTGAGCATCTGCATGGAAGGAATTTTGAACTTCTTCTATGTAATCTTGATTTACATCAAATGTATCTGATAATAGCACTTCATTTGCGAGATTTAAGACATAAGCGCTATTATCTTGTACATTCCCAGGCAATAATATGTTTAGGTACTGGTCGAAAGCTGATGGAACCTTTGAACTAGATAATCGAGCAGTGTTATAACCTAAGACGTTTTTGAGTTGCTGAAATAAATATATAAACTGACTATAGCAAGCATATTTAAAACTGCTTAGTTTACATACATTCATTAAAAACTGGTAAAGCAGAAATAATCATATGGTTGAAAAATTCAAAACAGAATACTAAGCATAATATTGTAAAGAGCGAACAAAAACTCAGTGTTTAAAACTAACATTAAGCGACAGAGATGGTGAATAGTAATCGTTTTGTTTTCTTCCCGTGATAAAATGCCAACTAAACCGCAGTTTTTTCTTACAATAACTAAACTAAGCAATAATCTAATAAAAATTCTGTAACCTCCCTAATTGTAGGCTCTAAGATATGTGAATGGTTGCGACCTTTACTTCAGTGGGTGTATTTGTAAACTGAATTTATGGAGAAGATTTTCGATCTGAAATGATCGGAAATCGGATCGAGACTGAACAAGATGATTTTGACCGAAAGACTACGAACACTCGAATAGTTGGGTACCAATCCATTTCAAATTCAAGTTATAAACACACATAAGAAAACTTTCTCAACTGCAAACATTTCTCTGTTACTTTACATCACCACCTGCTTTAGATTAATTTTTATACTATAGAAACAGAATTGTTGTGTTCGAAAAAACTTTTTTATAGCAAAATTTTGATGTTTCCTTGACTGCCTCATGATTAGAGAATTCCCAATTGAGGCTATTGCCTTTCCCCACAAGTTATACATTTTCGTTTTGTTTGCTTTCAACTAATATTTTAATATGTATTTTGAGTTTGAGAATCTGGCAACTTCGATAAAAAAAACTGGGTGCTTAAAGCTGGAGAAAAAGACGATCATTGATACACAGATGCATGATATATGACCTTTAACGTCAGCTAATCGCTTATAAACAGGATGACATAGTAAAGTCGAGCTAAATTTCTCCCTATTTTATAAACTTCACATTAACTAACAGTCTAACATATTAGACTGTTAATTAACAAATACGTGAAGTTTATAAAATACAACACCGTATCGCACCGTATCGAATTTGTTAAACTTTAATTTTTCTCGTCAACGCCTTAAACTTTACTTAGATTTATTATTTGTTTATGTTTTTTATTGAAACCGTGATATATTTTTCTTTTGTGTACCTGGCAACATCGATGCATAATTAGTTTGTTTATGTTCTACATGGCTTCATGCCTGTCTCTGTGTTAAGTAAGAGATTTATAGTGAAAGATTGAAATCTTTGTGAAAGAATATAGAATGCGTAACTTAAGGCAGTTGATACTTGATGAGCTTGGTTTACTCAAAATAGAAGGGAAGGAACAGCTGACAATGTAAACAAATGTCACGTTTCATAACCAATCAAGATCAAGATACCCATACTACGTCACTTGCAGGTATCCCTGTCTGTTATTATTTATATTTTCTGCGTACCATTTCTGAGTAAGGTAACAGGGTACGTTTAGTTAGCCGATTGCAAGGAAATTTGACTATTCTTGTAATATTTTTATATTTTATGTCCGGCAAATCGAAAAGTACCGATATATATATATATACGTAGAGAAAGAAACAAAAATCAGGTACGAGTAACTTCTGCAATTTTTGATTGCTTCTGTGATACATATTACTGATTTGTGTGGTTTTCATACAGTCGTACAATAGAAAACTCAACATAAGCAACACAAAAAAAATCAAATTCTAATTTTTATTTTCTTATATTTGGCATTTATGACTTATGTATGATAAGCTACTTATTAAAACATAATTTCAAAATAAATTTTTCACAATAAATCAAATCAATTCAAAAATCAATTTTTCATTTATTGAGGCGTTGATCTCATTAGCAAGGTTAAGTTTTTTTTTTCAATTGCGTGGTAATATATGCTTGATTTGAAAATTAAAAAAGGTAAAAAAGCTCCAAATTAAAGGAAAACAGAAAATGCGGGCTTAATAAGCAAATTCATTTAAGTAATTAAGTGATAAACTAGGATTTCTATTTAAAAATAGAGTGTTTTTAAAGTCAAACGAAAAATTTCAGTTTCGACTTCAAATAAAGAAACTCAAAGTTTGGCGGCTCTGGAAATCGACGCCAAGAATGTTGATCAGCTGAACGCATTAACATCTTAGATGCAGGGTAAATATGCACGTTAAAATGAGATTCAAAATAAAATAATTACTTTTAGAAAAACTGAGACCATTTTCGAATTCGAAACAGATTGTGAAGTTGCTGAAAATTACAGATGCAATTATCAAGAAGTTTTATAAAAAATCAAAATATTCTTGAGTAAAGATTCTAAATCTATCTCCAAAGGTTCTTTGGAGGACAGAGTTATTAAACTAAAGCTACCGAAAACTGAATTGAAAACTTTTTCGAGTAATCTCAAAGAAAATCTCACTTTCTGAAGTGTTTTTCAAAGATTTATTAGTCCGAGGATGACTAGGAGTCTAAAAACTTCAATATTTATACCAACCAATGATACCCCATTCCAAAGCTGAAGAAAATTATCAAAAAACTATTAAATTAGTACAGTTTTATGTCTAAGAAGATCTTATAAAGAATGATACTGCCGGTAAGAATTCACCTGCTTTAAATGTTTAAAATTTTAACTTCAATCTTAAATATATAGTATTTTTGAAATTAGAACTTCTGATCAAAATAATTTATACTATAAAACGATGCATGTTTTTCGAAAAACTATTATTTGGAGCAAAATCTTTACGAATCATTCTTTTTTTAATTGTTGAGAAACTTTTAAAGTGAATTTTGCTAAGAAAATGTTTAATAACTTTGAAGTTCTATCGACATTTTAAATCAACAATTAGCTTTAGTCAACTCNGTAACGACCGCCTTCCGTGGATATTTGTGCCAGAGCCGCACTTAAGGAGCCAAGGAGCCACATGCGGCTCCGGAGCCGCACTTTGCCGACCACTGCTTTAGGCAGTAAATTTAAACCCATTTTTCAAATACTTTCAAGTTTTTTTTTTCAAAATAAATAAATATCTTACTTTAGCGGAGTTGCCTCTAGTACCAACGTAAAGCATTCCAAAAGCTGTAGACAGACTGATTGGTGAGATGAAAACATTTTCAGCATTATTTTCAGTCAACCTGTGGTAAAGTTTCACTCCTAACTCATTGTTTGCTACTGCCAATTTATTTAAATTATTTTCATTGGCTGCTTCTGTAGAAAATCCCACATTGAAGACGTACAGTGCTAGCATAAAAAAAAATCCATCCATCCTCGCAACCACTTATGAAAAATCTCTAAAATGAAATTCCACAAGTTAGTTCAATTTAGGGTCATAATACTAATTCATGGTATTCCGTAATAACCGCAATTGACATATATGTTTTTAAATTTCTTTTAAGAAATGCAGTGAAAAGGATGTACATACTCGTCGTCGCAAGTTTTTAATATTTTAACTAAGAGAGAAAAACTAAAACGCTATCAAAATCTAGCAAATTACTAGCAATTCGCTAAATTTAGATAGCTTAGATATATTTCAATAGCGATTGAGGAGGGTTTTTGGTATAGGTTTGGAAAATCCGAAATCCTTTAGACTGCTTGAGAAAACAGAAAATAGTTGATTATTAGGCAATCGAATTGGTTCTGATGTTTTGAGTTTTACTTCCAGTGATTAGTCGATTTTGATTGCAGTTTTGTTCCCTAATCACTTAAATGTTAATTGTATTGCTTTTGAGCTTGAATTTTGAATTGTAATCTAAAAATACTTAGTGATTAAGTGATTGGTAATTAAAATATTTTCTTTTTTTTTTAAACTTATGCTCCATTAATTAGTTTCTAAAACTTAACTAGTTTTAAATGTTTTAAATATTCACTACTTTTTTTAAAATATCAGAAATTTACGACAAACTACTTTTAGTTTTAGTTTCAGTAACAGTTCTACGACTACTAACAAACTACTTTTAGTAACAATTTCAAGTTCACTATTTCGCAGTTGTTTTGATTTCAAAGTTTTAGAAATAAGGAAATGAACTCCTACCTTGAAAAGCAGATCATGAAATAAAAAGAGATCGAAAATTTATGTCAGCAGTTCTCTTGCATCACCATTATTTAAATGCAGATATACAAACATAAAATTGCTTAATCATGCTAATGTAAATTCATTGCACATTTCCAACTGTTTCAATAGAAGCACATTTAATCCTTTGTCTATAATTTTAAGTTTATTGGCCAATTTTTAATTCATTCCTGGTCAACAATTTCCTCCTAACATTTAATTTTGGCAAAATATTTTTCAATATTAATGTAAGCCACATTTATATATGAACGCTAATCTATACAAACTGTTTACAACACGTGTTGTGTATTTCTCTTGTTAAGGTTTTTAAGATAACACAAGAGCAGTGCTTTCCAACCCTCGGGCCGCGGATGGGACGCATGATACCGGGATCAAATGGTACCTGGCCGCCCAAGGAAGATTAAATTATTTTCATTTTATTTAATGTGGCGTATTTCTCTAGTGTGTGTACAACTTTCTAAAATCAAGAGGTTAACGTCACTGAGAGACGTCACTTAAAGCACCAGCGCATGTTGTATTTTATTTCGAAGACACTTTAAAAAGCAATTAAATTAAAATTACTAAATCAAAACAATCTAAAATCGAAACAATCAATGTCCCTACATCCCTTCAACTGGCCGCGGTAAAATTATGAAACGTTGACCGGTCCGAGGCGATAAAAAGTTTTTGGAGCTCCCCACTAGAGAGCCTCACCCCTACTCGATGCGCTCACCAGTTCCCTGTTTCGGAATCGGATCTTTCGGATTGCTTCGCGACTCGCGCCTGTTTTGCTATTTTCTAGTTCATATGATTCTTATCTTTTTTATTTTGGCTCTGTATGCATGCTGCTATTCTTTCTAAAGCAAAGTTCTAAAGATATGCAACTTATGCTCTTGTGAAACTTTGATTTATAAATATATAATTCAAATTTTATTAATTCTGAAATGATTCATAAATAAGTCATATCATAATGATTCATCAATGCTGTTCGGAAACTATATTTCAGCAATTCAATTCGTAAAATTATTTTGGCTTTGTATGCATGGTACTCTTTCTAAAGCAAAGTTCTAAAGCTATGCAGCATATACTCCTGTGAAACTTCGATTTATAAATATTTAATTCAAATTTTATTAATTCTGAAATGATTCATAAATAAGTCATATCATAATGATTCATCAGTGCTGTTTGGAAACTACATTTGGAACAATTCAATTCATTAAATTCTCCCATATACAAAAGCATAATTTCATTGGAGACACAAAGTTTTAAGTTTTTATTCTAACGTAAATTCAGAAAGAAAATGTTTAAAGAACGAAAAAAGTATAGTGACATAGTAGTTAAAATTAGCGGTAATATACTAAATCTAAAAAAATAAAGTTTAATCAATAAAAAGCATATTTACTGCTGATCTCCGTAGATTATTAAATAATATGTTAATTACCCGTTGATTACTAAACATTATTTAAACTATAATATAATTCTAAATTATTATAGTACCAGCGTAAATTAATTAACGTAGCTAAAATAAAAATCTAATGCAGTTTTTAGTACTTTTCCATTTCACTGGCGATAATGTCGCCAATGCGGCATATGCAAATGAATTTAAATGTTCTTTTTAATTTTAATTTTTCAAATGACATCTTTTTTTTTAACAAACAAATAGCCGAAATCACTTGCGCCGACGAAATGGAATATTAAAAAAAATTTTTTTGTATGAACTGGCCGATTTTCCTTTTTATTGCTTCCCACCTTGTAGCTCAGTTTATCTCAGCGCTCCGTTGCCAACACGAGAAAGGAAATTTTATCAAATAGAATTTTTCTGGATTGCAGATTTAGCTATCTGGGTCCAACATATTTTTTTCCTTTTTGAAAACAGCCTTAATTAAAATTTTAATTTTATTTTCGATAAGTAGGGGCTTTAAAATTATTTATCTAACGTAAACTTTGAAAATTAATAAAAATATTTTTTTCAAAATAAGGGCAATCTTGAGCGCAAGCAATTTTTTCACGTCACACTAACCACTCTGCAACTAATCGTAATGTAAAATCAGAATATTTTTTTTCTAGATCAATAATTTGGTTATCAGTGCTTTGAACTTAATTCTGCTCGAAATTTCAAGCAATCATTGAAATAGAGCTTAATTTATTGTTCGATGTTGATTTTTAAATAAAAATTCTAATGTAAAGCATGATAAGAATAATAAATTCGCACTTAGACCTTAGCTATTAGTTCAAAACATTGCTAATACTTTACAAAATTTGCATATAAAGTTACAACACATTATATTATGAACTTTTTTTTGGCATGGAGAGGAAAACCACAAAAACCTCCCATGGTTAGCTTGACGCAAAGGTACTCTAATCCATGATTCTTCTACATCTGAGAATATTTTACGTCAGCAACTGTAGTCGGTGGTCGGAATTCGCATTAACCAGCCATTGCTGGGATTAAAACCCGGTTCATCTCATTGGATTGGCTTCATTTAATCCCCTGAGCTACCACGGCTCTATGCAATTAGATTGAACAAAACTCGTTTTTGTAGTTTAACTGTAGTCAGTATCATTAGGCAGGGTGTTGTTGCTCGAGGTCAATTATTTACCATAATTAGGCGATTTTCTCCGATACTTATTAATCGAGGGGTCATAAAAATTCTTTTACAGCTGTATCTACTATAAAACTGCACAGTATTGATGCTGTTTTAGCATATAAGGAATATGCTAACATACGGTACCTTTGCAATTAAATTAGTATAATTGTTATGCATTAAAACTTCATCAATTTACATGGTATCAGTCGTGCCAATTACCAAACTCAATTAAGTATCATTGGAGTTAATGGCGCATGGGGATTTTTTGTATTTCTCTTGAAGGAATTTGATACCTGTAAATGATACCTGTGACATCGTAGGTAAATCGTAGCATTTGACGATTTAGAAGCCAATCAGGTACGACACACACTGGTGAAATCGCTCATAAGTAGTAGACAATTAAATTGCGTGGATCGGTATTATCACTTCATTTTTTATCAAGTTGCAACTACCCAATTATCACTAATTTATTATTATTTTTTACTATTGAAAAAATTTCAAAAAAATTTTCTTTGACGGAAACCGCGATCCTATGATCTACATAACATGTATTTGAAAATGCATCTGGATCCATCAAGTAGAACGGTAGCTATACGGGCCTTTGAGTACTGTGAGTTTAATTTTTACCACTCTGCATTTCAAAATATGAAAATAACAGTTTTTTCATGCCTCTATTGATAAATAAAATTTTACAAAACACAGTACAGAAATTTCTTGACGATATCAAACTTCATTTTTGTATTTTCTTAAGCAAATGAAGTTTTTTTTCATCAAGTATACATTTTTCCGTTTCGCAATTATTCAGTTAATATTACCAAATTGTTAAATAATATGTTGATACCTATGTTTGATTTGAAAACTTGATTTTTAACTGGGCTAGCTTCAAAAAATTTTATATATTAAGAGATGTTTTGAAGTGTATATCACTATTTAAGTGCTGCTGTTTTGCAGTGCTTAAAATACTGTTTAATCTGNTAAAAAAAAAAGTGATAAATATAATCACAAGATCTAATCTCCATTCTTCTTACGGGATGAAAGGAAGTAAATAGTCAATAATCCGCAATAAAAAACTCTTAAATCATACACGAAACTAAAAGACATATAACAACGCAATTAAGACTAAATAATTACAAATTTTTTATTTACTTTATTTGCTGCCCTTACCCTTAATGCAATTATATTTTATTTTATTTTATAACCGTCATTGAACAGCAAACCCAATTTTTCAACTGACGACTACCAATGTTCACCTACGTAATCTTGTAATTTTAAACCCAATCCAAGGAAAGCAAGGGAACTCTTGGATCAAGGATTTGGAGAAATTTGCCTTCATGGATTACTTTTTAATAGAAATAACCCCCCCTTTTTCGTTGCATGGAGTGGAAAACCAAGAAAACCTCCCACGGTTACCCGGACAGCAAGGGACTCTAACCCATGATCCGCCTACTACTGAGGATGTTTTATGTGAGCGCTGTGGTCGGTGTGAGTCGGGTGCGGAATTCGTATTAACCAGCCATTGCTGGGATTAAAACACGGTTCATCTCATTGGATTGGCTTAATTTAGTCCCCTCAGCTGCCACGGCTCTATGAAAATAGATTGAACAAAACTCGTTTTTGTTGTTTAACTGTAGCCAGTATCATTGGGAAGGATGTTGCTGCTCGAGGTCAATCATTTACCATATTTAAGTGATTTTCTCCGATACTTATCAATCTCGAGGGGTCATACAAATTCTTTTACAGCTGTATCTACTATAAAACTGCATAGTATTGATGCTATTTTAGCATATAAAGAATATACTAACATACGGTATCTTTGCAATTAAATTAGTATAATTGTTATGCATTAAAACTTCATCAATTTACATAGTATCAGTCGTGCCAATTACCAAACTCAATTAAGTATCATTGGAGTTAATGGCGTATGGGAATTTTTTATATTTCTCTTGAAGGAATTTCATACCTGCAAATGGTACCTGCGTCATCGTAGGTAAATCGTGGCATTTAACGATTTAGAAGCCAATCAGGTACGACACACACTGGTGAAATCGCTCATAAGTAGTAGACAATTAAATATGATTTAAATTACGTGGATCGGTATTATCACTTCAAGTTGTAACTACCCAATTATCACTAATTTAATACTATTTTTTACTATTGAAAAAATTTCAAAACAATTTTTTTTGACGGAAACCTCGATCCTATGATCTACATAACATGTATTTGAAAATGCATCTGGATCCATCAAGTAGAACGGTAGCTATACGGGCCTTTGAGTACTGTGAGTTTAATTTTTACCACTCTGCATTTCAAAATATGAAAATAATAGTTTTTTCATGCCTCTATTGATAAATAAAATTTTACAAAACACAGTACAGAAATTTCTTGACGATATCAAACTTCATTTTTGTATTTTCTTAAGCAAATGAAGTTTTTTTTCATCAAGTATACATTTTTCCGTTTCGCAATTATTCAGTTAATATTACCAAATTGTTAAATAATATGTTGATACCTGTGTTTGATTTGAAAACTTGATTTTTAACTGGGCTAGCTTCAAAAAATTTTATATATTAAGAGATGTTTTGAAGTGTATATCACTATTTAAGTGCTGCTGTTTTGCAGAGCTTAAAATACTGTTTAATCTGACAAAGAAAGTTCAAGTCGTATACTTGTGTCATCACATGAATTAAAAGCAGAAGATTTGGTTAAAGTTTTTTTTTAAGTTTGAATTTTTGCGCAAACTATAGTATTATATTTTATTATACTCACCCGAGAGTCAGAGATACTTTTCGTCAATTCGTCAAATTCGTTATCTTCCCAGATTCGTTACTTTACTCATAATATTTTTGCAGCACTATGCACAGTTATTATTTCATTATCTGAATTGTAATTTTAGCAACACTTTTATCCATGCTCCTTTACTACTTATTTCCTAACAGTTATCATACGTTAATCATTTTAACTAGATATAACATAATTGCTTGTTAAATCTTGCACAAAACCACATAATTTTAAAAAAAAACAGCAAAAAATCTGAACGACAGCAAGAAAAAATCCATTCTTTATTTGATAAAATAACATTTTAGAATGGAACATATGTTTTAATGAACCACCACCAATTTCAGATAAAAACATTTTACACACTTATAAAGCGACCCAAAAACAATAACATGTTAACTCTGATGTCCACAACTGCTAACATGAATGGATGATCCGCAGTAAATTCTTTCGAATGAGCAGGTGGAATATCGATAGGCTGGTCGCAATCATCTTGATCTCCTGCATCTTAATTTCCTTCATCTTGATTTCCTTCATCTATTTCTAGATAAGCCTTATGCAGAGGACCTGATACAGCCAAATGCTTGTTCTTTGAGATACCTGAAAAGTCACCAGAGCCATCATATGCACAGGTAGCTCCAAGAGACTTGAAGTCGTTAGTGAAATTTCTGAAATACTGAATCCCGATTTTTGGAATGTAGACAACGGCAGATGCGGTTTTGAGCTGATTCACGACTTTCACAATCATATCTGGGGTCATAGTCTTTTCTAAAGTCGACAGTCCATTTTTCTGTCGTGGTAGAAAAAGTATTAATCCAACATTTTGCCCTACATATGGCAAAAATATAGCTTGATAGTCATTCGTTTCCGTATAAGGAAAAGGGCCGCTAACGTGCATAAATGGAACAGACCTGAAAAATTCCAATTTGAAATTAATACTGGATAATGCATTCTTTGTTGCATTCATGCAAATACTTGATTTTTCCCAAATTCGAGTGTAGAGATTTCAAATCTAAAATAGTTTTGCTCCTAAAGCTACTGATTTCTTCTTTTCTAAAAATGACAGTTTTAGTCTATTATTTTTGTGGAAAGGGGTGTAATCCACAATAGCCAATATACACGGTGTCCTATAAATGTTGCGACAAACTTCAAGGGGAAGTAGGGCACATGATTTCTATTATGAACATGTTGTTCGTGCGCCATAAAGCTTGCCAGTGACCCGAACACTTTATTTTATTAAATTATTTTCATTTCCTTTTAATTGTTTGTTACTACTATTTTATTTTATAACCGTCGTTGAACAGACGACCCAATTTTGGATTTACGACTACCAATGTTCAACTTCGTAGCCTTATAATTTTGAACCCAATAGAGAAGACAAGGGAGCTCCTGAATCAAGTATTGGAAGAAATTCGCCTTCTTGGAGGAATTAGTGATGGAACTAACCTGTATTTGCGCAACATAGAGAGCAAAACCACAAAACCTCCCTGACGGCAAAAGGAACTCTAGCCCATGATCCGTCTACCACTGAGGATATTTTACGTCAACAATGTGGGCGGTACGAGCTGGGTATGGAATTCATATCGACCAGCCAACCCTGGGATTTGAACCCGTATCACCTCATTGGAAGGCTAACGCTCTATCCCCTGATTCACCGAGTTGCTGTTGAGAGTTCCATTAAAATAGGCTCATAAATGCTGTATTATAGAAATTTAATGATTGGTAAAGCTTGCCCAATTAGTCGCCAAATTATTAAATTGCGATAAAACTGCTAATACCGTACTTATTTGAAAGCAGTTTTTGACAATAATTAATAGAAAACAAAGATCTAGGATAATTTAGATAAATAAAAGTACCCGATGTTCAAAGGCACACGATGTAACTGTTCAAAATAAGAAATCGTGCATATCGGCAAACGATAATATTTCCAGCCATGGTTTCCTAGGTAATTCTTAATCCTTATGATGTACCCTGGTTCCTATAGAAGCTCGTCGCAACATTTACTGGATATCCTATATGTGATATTTCAAGCACATCAAGGCTATTGAAGATTACAAGCACACTAATGCTTGTGAATCCACATATAGCCTATATATGCGGATTTCAAAGATATGAATTTGGGACTAACATCCCTTCGTCTATATTCATTTAAGAAACTCAATTGATTTAAAAGTTTATATTCTTAAAGTCGTAAGTTACAAAAATGATTAATGTGAGACATGTGAAAGAGAAGAAATTAAAAGAATTCAGACGGAGAAGTACCTGTTTATGCCAATAGTGTAAAACACTTGAATAAAGCACAAATAATTTCACATAAACAGATAGACCTTGTCTCTCTGTCTTGTTAAAGGGAAAAAAAGAAGAAAAAACTTATCTTTAGTAAATACTTTTCTGTGATATTTCTGAGAAAACAAGTTGGTTTAGTCTGAATTAATTTTCCAGATATTATATTCATTTAATATAAATATTACATAAATTTTATTTTTAAATATGCTACGAAAACTCTTATATTCTTAAAGAAAGCATGTAAGATATGGGTGGTTTTTGATTATCAAAAATAACCACCGCCTCAATTCCATAAGATATTCTTGCAGTCAGCACGTTTTAAGAGAAATTTTGTATGAAACGAACATAAAATCCTGAAAATTAACTAAAATTCGAAATAATCGCATTCTTTCCTACATTTTTGGGCCAAACGAAAGAAAGAAAAAACTTTTTTTAAAGTTTTTTAAAAATAATTTATTTTGCACTTTCTCGTCTTAAAGTTCGCTAAAACTTTTTTTTTGAATATTTTCCTACTTGGTATTGACCGTAAACCTCGATTTGACTTCAGATGTATTTGCATTACTTACAATTGAAGAGAAAAAATTATTAATTAATTTCCTACATATTTTATACTTTCAACTTCAAGATTTGTCAAATCTTTCTTTGAAGGATTGATTTTTTTTATTATTTTTTGTTGTTGTAAATTTTGGTTCTGACAGTAAACATCGATTTGACTTCAATTCTTTACCTCTAATTAGAAAAGCGTATTTGTTGTTTCTATTGCCTACTTGCCAAATTACTTGGGAAACAAAGCGAATTTAAAACAGAGGGTGAGTTTCTAGTTTTACAGTGGCGCCATCTATGGCCAAGAATACAATTTCAACCACACACACGTCACAGTCCGTTTTACAGAGCGGACTTATTCATATTTCCATTAATTCATCCACGTATCGTATTTTTAACCTGAACCAGAGAACGATCAAGCACCAAATCAGTATCCCCAAAAATATGATTTGATATAGGAACTTAAAGGACTTTGTGACCCCGGCAGATTTAACGTGCATTTAATACATGGGTTATATTCTGCCCTGCCGGCGGAATTTGAACTACCGTTCTCGCGAGCACTAAATTATTTTAGTCCTTAGCAAAATATCGCATAGATGAATCGTAATAACAAACACTGTCAAAACATACTGACTATGATTACAATTGTAACATTAAGAAATGGGGGATCGAATTCGAATCCACGATCTCCATATTATTTAATACGACGCTAAAACCTACTGAGCTATTTTACTTCTAGTTGCTTGATATTAATATAAAATATATGCATATGACGGAGCGAAATATATTAACGAAAAGGAAAGTTGATAAAGATAATAGGAATCATTTTTTTCTTCTGTTTTTTGCAAATTCGCTACCTAAACTGTAATTAAAATATCTTACTGTTCTCCCAATGGTGAGTAAAATGGCTGTGACTTCGACAATTCCGATGGAAAAGGCGTTTCCCACTTTCCTTTGAGATACACAGCATTTACAGCCAGAGCTGAGGTGTTAGGGCTTACACCATTTACAATGTGTCGAATCTTCCCCCTCGTTTGTTCAGCTACAAAATAATTGATTTTAAGATCAACCTCCTCAGCTTTGCTAAAGTCAACATTTGCTACTGTTGCGAGATATTGCTTTTGCACTTCTTTTTTGAATGCACAATCCAGTTGGACTTTCTTTGCTGCTAAAGCTGCATCGGCACAACTCAATGTGTAATTGGGTGTGCTTGGATCATTTTGGGGTAGTTGATTGGTAAACATGTAGTTGAAGGTCTCTGGAACTTTCTTGTTAGGTAAACACGCTGCCTTATAACCTAAGAATATAATTGCTGAAAGAGATTTGATATGTAAAAAATTTGTAAATACAGCAAAATAAATACAAAAAAAAAAGAAAAAAAACACCAGGAAAATTAAGAAAAACAATAAGTTTCATTTATTGCTCATAAGCTGCAAATAAACAGAACTCATAAGATAAGTTCAAAATGAAGATAAAACAAAGGAAAATTACAGACATATGAAAAAGGGGGGGGGAGAAAAATAATAATGAAAAAATAACAAACAACTGGGGGGGGGGAGGATAATATTTTTTAAAAAATCCGGAAAATAAAAGATATAATCTTTTCATCAGCCCACATGATTATATCCGCAAAAAAGAGTGCTTTCTGATATTGTATCAATATGGCCAAAGCAAAATATATTAATGCAATAGTGTGAGGAGCACTAAAAATTTTTTTTTGCAAAAATTACAACAAGTAAAATAGAACACAAAAAGTAAAAATAACACGTAAAAACAGAAAATAAAATAAAATAAAAAGATAAAACAGAATAAAACAAAATCTATAAAGCGAGTAGCGAATTCAAATGTACTTACATGAACGGGAAATTTTTCAAAAATGAATTAAAAAATATTTTTTTAACAAGATTGCCAGATTGCAAAATATGAAAACAAAAGCGCAAATTGAGCATAACTGGAGAAGTTTTGTTTTAAAGTGCCGTTTTTACTGCATTGCTGAAGTGCGTTTGATTTGTTAGTTACCAAGGATGGGCCCGAAATGGATGTACGTAAGGTAATATTATACTGGATAATTTAAAGAAGTTGACCATAAATAATTTTAGAAAATAAATATTTATTTAAGTAAAAAATATAAAATAGAAAAGAGAAACATGAATTGCCTGTTTTGCACATAATTTTAGCCACTGATTTGCCCGAAATGGATTTGGGCATGGAAAAATTGTATAAATTAAATTGTATAATTTCTTTATTAATTTATAAAATTTTTCCATGTGCTAGTCCATTTCGGGCAAATCCGTGGCAAAAATTATCTACTAAAAAATAACTGGTTTAAAACTATTGATCCACCACTGGGTGACTTAGAAAATGGGAAATATTGAGAGAATGTTTCTCCGCTATACACTATTTCTTTATCTAATAACATGAAAAAACCAGTTTTATCTAATAGCATGGAAAAAAAAAAGTTTTATCTAATAACAAGGAAAAACCAGTTGAAGCAGAAAATACTGCAGGTCAAAATAGGACCTTTTGCGTGCAGAACCGTCAGTGGAATAATGATAAACAATGAAAAAAATTCTTTCTTGAAAGTTTTTTAAATAAAGTCTTTTATTGGTAAATGCGCTCTTTATTTACTTTATTGACTTTTTTTATTACTAATTTGTTCTTTATTACTATATAGTCTTTATTTACTTTATCTATGAAGTTGGGGATCCGCCAGACGAAGATTTGCCAATTAGTGTTCCTATGCCAAAAAAAAAAAAAAGAAAAAAAAAATTGGGAACCGCTGTCCTTTATTACTAATGCAAATAATACAAATAGAATACGGACAATATATCATGATTCAGATAATATAAATACTTTAGATATATTTTTATGTTACAACTATGAAGCTGTAATTGCAGTTTGCTATATTTAATAGCGTAATAACTCGAAATGGAAGTTGTTACTATCTTTCGCTAAATATTAACTATCTTTGCTTGTTACAGCTTTCTTGATTAAAGATTATGCACCTAGGTGCGAAAATACATGCAACTTAATAAAAATGATAACTTTTAGGAGATGGAGATGGTCTTAAATAATTTTTTTTGTCAACAGAAAGATAAAAATTAAATATTTATTCTATCATTTTTTTTCATTTATTGCAAGCTCATGTAATGTCTTCTTATTTTTAAAATAGATGAAATACAAAATTATAAGATTGCTATTAAGATGAAATAAAAAGCATTAATTTTCTTTAAACAACTTTAAAGTTCTTGCTAATTCAGTGTAAGATAGTAAGATAGTTCTATGAAACACAAAACAACTTATTATAATAGAATGTCAATTGAAACAATAGTTGTAAAAGAAAGATTTTTTTCAATTATCTAACATTAAAAGATTTTTTAATGTTAGATAATTGAATGTTCTACGTGAAAATGCATGTGTTTTAAACTATAATATTTTCGAATACAAAGATTATGAAATTAGAATAAATGGAAATAAAAGTAACTGGAATATTTTATGTATACGAATAGATAGGATTATTAAATAACTGGAATGTTTCTGAAACATATCAGTGGAAAGTTTTTAGGATTTAGTGGAATTTCGCTATAAACTTTTAGTTCAAATAAGTTACTACTACTGGTATTGGTAGATAATTTAGTCTATTATTTAGATTGGCATCAAGTAAGGTAACTAGCATAATATTTTGTAAAATGCTATTATTAGTAGTAAACATTTTTTTTAAAAAAAATGCTTTACTAATGAGCTGATTTGTGAAAAATAGTGCTATGGCGGGACTTAATTTCTCCCCTAAGGAATACGAGGACCACTCAATTGAAATATAACGCAAGAATTATCTAGTAAATGTCATAGATTTTAGGTATGGTTTTTCTTACCTTTTGGGTATTTCCTCTGGCTCCATATAAAAATATTCCTAATCCTGTCATTAAACTGGCGGGACAAAAGAACACATTGTCAGTGTTTCCTTTAATCAATCTAGGATAAAGTTTAGCTGCTAATTTGTTGTTGGCAACTGCAAACTTTTTTAGGTCCTCTTGTGATACCTCGGCTGAGGTCAGCATAGCATGAGCGATGATAAGAAGAAAAAAATTGTAGAAAACCATGTCTGTAATATATATTAAAATATTTCATATCATATTTTGGTTNTCCCTACTTAGCATGTCTGAAACGTGATACCTCGGCTGAGCTCATCATAGCATGAGCGATGATAAGAAGGAAAAAATTTTAGAAAACCATGTCTGTAATATATATTAAAATATTTCATATCATATTTTGGTTAACTAGAAGGTAGCTGTCGTAGTTAAAGATGGAGTGTTTAAAGCCAAATAATTGCGCAACTATTTAACAAAACTGAATCAAATTTGCAGTAAAGGCTATTTAGACCACGAGGATTTGATTTTAAAAAGTAAATAGTTTGAGATTCCTCAGGCTAGGATTAAAATGGCCTGTAATGTTTTTATTGAGAGGAGGGGGGTAAATCAAGAATAAGAAAGTACATAAATTTAACATTCACATATATTTTGTTATTGGCATAAGCTTTCATTCATTTTTCACTCACATTCATTTTACTTACATTCACATTTGCATTAACTTACTTTTTGTATTAACGCTTGAGCAATTGGATATTAGCACTTCAAGAAGATCATTGATACCCACACATGTGATCATTGATACCACACATCAGCACCAGTTCATGGTTTAACAACAATATGGCTTGTTAAAGTTGAGCTAAAGTTCCCCCGTATAAGTTCGAATGTTAATTAACGAGAAGTTATTTAAATACAGCGTCGTATCGCACATCGAAATTGTTGAAATATAATACTTTCTCGTCTATTTCTTTTACTTAACGAAGATTTATTATTTGCTTGTATATATTATTGCAACCGTGACTTATTTTTGTTTTGTGTACCTGACAACTTCGATGCATAATTAGTTTGTTTATGTTCGACAAGGCTTCGTGCATATTTCTGTGTTAAGTCTCTGTGTACGTATATAGTCAAAGAATTGAAATCTTACAGAAAAAATCTTTGTGAAAGAATACAGAATGTGTCACTTAAGATAATTGATACTTGTCTGTTTTACTCGAAATAGAAGGGAAAGAACAGTTGACAACGTAAGCAAATGCCTCGTTTCAACAACCTATCAGGTTCGAGATACCCACACTACGTCACTTAGGTTATTTCAAGCTTGCCCTTCTTCACATAAGTTCCTATATGCCATGAGTTTTTTCAGCGATGTATGATTAATTTTCAACAACTTCGTTTATTCTTCGTAAAAATCTGCAAACAAAGCAACGAGCTTCTGTTAAGGAGAGACATGATTGTAAAAATTCTTTATAAAATGTAAATGTAAAAGGTGAATGTAAATGCGATGCGATGCGTTGAATGTTAATTTACTGAATTGGCTTATGCCTATTTTATCCCCAAAATGCTTCATTTGAAACCCTCTAAACAAAAGATAAAATAATTTTTTGCTTTAAAATTTAACTTGCAATTTTTTAAATAGCTTCTAATGCAATTGTGGTCAAGTTTGGTTCAGAAGTTTTCTCACTTTCTGTTTTAAAACACCTCCACTTTAATTCGTGATCACCCTTGTGCATTTCTCAGTCAAAACGTTAAAAAATTGAAAATAGCATTTTATAACTAAGTATCAAATAAGAACTTTCAAATGCTGAAGTTTAACATACCTTTCCTCTGCGAACTATATCTTACAAGCAATTAAAAGTATATATCAGTTATTTTTTATTTAATTGCTTTTAAATTATTTTAATTAGATTATCTATATATATGTTACCGGCAAAGTATGAAGCGCCAGCATTGTACAGAATGACTAGGCATTGTATAGAATGCCTAAAATTAGCCGGCAAAGTATGAAGTGATTTATATTTCACACATATTCCTAGGCATTCTATAGATTGCCAAATGAGAAACCGGCAAAGTATAAAATGCATCTCCCATTCGTTTCAAATATCACTTGACAAGGCTCGTGACTTTTACCGCGTGACTTTCAACGCGTGACTCCTGACTTTTGACTTATAACAAAAAAAATTTTTTTTTACTGTGCTACATGGAAATGGAGGAATTTAATGAAATTTATATGGAAAAATTTAATGAAAAGCAATTCAAAATGTCATTCAAGCCTGCCATGTTGCAACAAGTAGGTTAATTTCATATTTTTTAAATGAACATTTTGTTTCCCTTAATAAGAAAAGCTTAAATTTTGTTTTGCAAAACTTTTTAATTTTCTTTCCACATTTTGAATAAATATTTTTCAATGGCACTATTATTTTTTCAGAATATCATTTTTATTTTTGAGAAATGAATTTACTGTGAAGGACCGAAATTGGTAGTTTTACATTTATTCGATATGTTAATACTTACTGACGATAGATTAGAAGAAACATCAGTGTAGGGTATACCAGGCAAATGTATAACGGGCAGTGACCCTTGACCTTAAAAAAGCATCAGTGTAGGGTATACCGGGCAATTGCACTTGACCTTAAAAAAATATCAGTGTATGGTATACCGGGCAAATGTATACCGGGCAATGGCACTTAACTAGAACTAGTATGACTGGACCTTTGGTAAATGTCCGAAATATATACTAGGTCTAGTTAAGTGCCATTGCCCGGTATACATTTGCCTGGTATACCCTACACTAATGTTTTTTTATGGTTCAGTGCAACTGCCCGTTATACCCTACACTGATATTTTTTAAGGTCAAGTGCCATTGCCCGGTATATATTTGCCCGGTATACCCTACACTGATGTTTTTTTTAAGGTCAAGGGTCACTGCCCGGTATACATTTGCCCGATACTCCAAATACTGATGTTTCTTCTAATCTATCGTCAGTAAGTATTAAAATATCGAATAAATGTAATTATATCCACGAATAAATTAATATGAAATCGGATGTAATAAATATTTCGGACATTCACCAAAGCGACTATGTGATTGTTAACATTCACCGGTGAACAACAACCACCGATTTCGCTCATTCTCAGTAACATGCACATCATTTATTTCATATTTGCCTAAATAACATCCGGCATTGTATAGAATGCCTAGGCATTCTATACAATGCCTAGGCAAAGTATGTAATACTTCTCACATTTCATACTTCGCCTAAAAACGTCAAGCATTCTGTACAATGCCTAGTCATTCTATACAATGCTGGCGCTTCATACTTTGCCGGTAACATATATAATAAAATAAAGAATTTGTGTCTGTGTACCAAATTAAGCGATTACCGTAAGCTCTAAAAATACGATATTCAGCATGAAGCGAAATGTAACTTAAAAACAGAATAACTGAATTCTAGTTGAAATTTATCATTCAAAGTTAAAATATTTACCAAGAAAACGATAAAAATTTATTATTACTCAACATAAATGATATTATTTCAAGCAATTCGGATGATTCTTTACTGTTGTTTTCCGAATTATATAGATTCAGAAATATATTCTATTCTATAACTATTACAATTCTGCACATTCTGAAATCACATTTATTCATTAGAATAAACTAAACAATGTTGACTTCACATTAATTTGTAATGAATTGGATACAATAAAAAAAATGTATTTTACCGTAATACGCTCATTTGTAACAGTATGCTATAACGAAATCGGAAGTTATCAGGTGCAAGCTTGTCAGTAATAGAAAGGTAAAAATTATTGAGAAATTGTTCTTCAAATGAGTGGCGTGTTCAGTTTCAAAAAGATATAACAATGTTCGGGTTAGTTTTTTCAAATTCTTCTGCCTTTTCCTTAGGGAAATTCTGCTTCTTATTTGCTTCTAAGAGAATGGCATCCAACTCTGCCAATGATTATGAGAGAACTAAATGAATTCTTAATGCCTGATATTTTCAGGCTCCGCTAAGAGGGTGTACTCAAGTGTTGCGATCACGAATTTGAAGTCAAATTTTTAAGTGAATAAATTTCTTAATTTATCTCCTGTAGAAGAAATTTTTTTGTAAACTTGTAAGGATGTAGTTATTTCTATACGTAATTCAATGATAAATATACTTACATAAAAATAGTGTTTTTTATTAGTAACTAAAATGGTGATTAAATGTGCTAAATCGTTAAAATCCTAGAATAGCCCACCTCTTAGCGACTTTTTGAACTCTCGCCAAGTTGGCGATTATTATATGGATCAACGTTATTTTTTATTATTAGAAAACAATTTAAATCATTGCAAATTTATTAATTTTATTTTTAATTATAAAAAAATTACCTTTACTCTGATAAACCAGATCTACCAGAAACCTATTGATATATAAATAAGAAAAAAAAATTGGAATTATTTTAGCTTTATTATTTGTGTCGGTATTTGTCCTAAAGTTTTGTGCATGATTTTGTAATGGGGCTCATTACTAATTAATCGATGCTTATTTTTTCATCTCTTATCCAAAACGGGTATTCAGCTAGTAATAATAAAAAAAATCGTGTGTAATAATTATACCCAAAAAAGTGAATATATTCTTTTTTTCTTCTTTCACCTGCTATTGGTTTTTATTTAAATCTAAGTTAATAATCGTTTTTAATTTTTAATACTCATTCCAGAATATTTTGAACTCACTTTAAAGAAAAATTTAATATGTAGTTTTCTTATGACCAAGAAATGCAATAATTTTTTTAATTAAAGGCGAAAATCATACTGTTCTACAATTATTGTATGACATGATAATTTGAAAAAGGATAAATAATTTTATAAACATTCAAATATTAAATAATGTAAAAATCATTTCATTAAACATAACCTAAACTTCGTAATAAGATCATTAAACTACGCATTGTCTGTGTCCAGTTTATCTCTTTATGGTTTCGGACATTTAATAGCAAATGTATATTGGTTTAATCAAAATAATCATATCATGTGTCAGTTTAGCTAACTAACACATACTTATTTTCTGTTAGCAAATGCAATAATTTAAATTAAGTATCTATTTCAAAATAAGTTGAATTCGATTTATCATATTTAGTTTAAACCTTTAAAATATATATATTGTAAGCTAATTGTATAATCCGGCTTTTTGCGAATTGGCGCCATCAGGTTAATTATTAAAATCTTCAGTATCTTCTGATCAGACTAATATTTCTTTACTTATTACATTCAGCCTATATTTAGACTAATTAGAAAATCTGAGAATCAATTTTAAATATGACTAAATTGTCTATGGCTTAATGTAATAAACCTTAAATAAGGCTACATACAATAAGCGTTACATATTAAAGGTTTGTTGTAATTTTCCTGAAAGAATTAAGGCTAACTGAGTTATGAATTATGTATTTTTCAAGCAGCTCATTTTTTGGACTTATTACATTTCGCCTATATACGCCTTTAGGCTAATTAGAAAATCTGAGAATCATTAGTAAATGTGACTAAATTTGATATGATTTAATGTAATAAACCTTAATTAAGGCTACATACAATAAGCTTTACTTATTAAAAGTTTGCTGTAAATTTCCTAAAAGAAATAAGGCTAAATGAGTTATGAATTATGTAAACCAAAGCTGTGTTGGGCTCACTTCAATAAAATTAAAATATGACGCAATGCAAAATGCTATCCATATTCGCAAAAAGTCGAATTATACAATTAGCTTATGATATATGCATTTTAAAAGCTTTTACTAACCATAATAAGCAACAGATATTTAAAATTTGTATTTACACCTTAAATAAAAGATGAATTCCAATTTCCCCAAGAATTTTTAATTTTAAATCTGGAGTATTTTTTAAATGAATAAATAAGTTTGAACGTTGATAGATTCTGAAATTCTATTCAAATCTACGTCAGCTGGGAAAATAAATATGTAGTTCCTTACCTATACTGAAAAAGCTATTCAAGTCCACAATCTTTTGAAGGCAAATTTAGCATTCATTTAAAACATACACTAACAAGTTATTGCCGATTAGAAAGTTTTTGAATGATTTATATGACATTTAATTTTTAGTCGTGAATGTCTCATAAGAAAAACATTTTTTCTCCTAAAGAAGTTGTATTTGGTTTATATTATTCGCATTAGACAAAATACCGAAAATGAAATGTAAGGAACTACTATTAACTTATATCTTTTTCAGCAAAATTAAGAACTATTTCCTTACCTATGTTGAGAAGAATGGATCGAAGAAGAATTTTTCTAGGTTAGGTCCAAAAAGAATTTCGCTTTTATATGTAGCAAGCACTATCTATGCAATGTTATGTAATTATTTATTTACGTGACTTATGCGAATCTTCTCTCGTAAATGCCAATCAATTATGTTGATTTCCAGGATTAGTGATTTCAAGAGACTAAGTTCTAACCTTTGGAACTATATCATAATTAGAATCTTAATAGTTCAGTCGACTTTTTAAATAAAGATTTACATAAAGATGATCAAAATGTTTCCATTATAATATGCCTTGTTTCTCAGCTGTTTAAAATTCAATTTTTAAGTCCTACAAGCTGAGTCATTTGGCTTTAGAGAAAATCTGTCTCGTCAAAAAATTTACTTTAAAAATATTCACTTAATATTTTATCTTAAATTATAAATTTAAAAAGAAAGAAAATATTAATACAAGAAGCTTCGGACGATTCGTATTCTGATCAAGTCAAATAAAATTCTCGCGTTATTAAAAATGCATTAAGGAGCTCAATACAAATAATTACAATCGAATATGAGAAGTGCTAATAAATGTATATCAATTAAACTGCTTATTTTGGTTAATATATTATTCATTAAAAAATGATAAGAGAAGAAAACATTAATGGTGATATTTATATACCGCTCGCTCTTCTTGCATTCAAAAAAGAAAAGAAAAAGAAAAAGAAAAGGGAAATAAAGAAGGAAAGTCTTTAGTTTTCTTTCGTAAATTCTTCTCAAATATTAAAACAATCAAATTGTATTGCAAAGGACAATCAAATCAAACTGGCAATTAAAAATATGCAAGTAAATAGCAAAAAATTGCTTACTTTTAAAATTTTTCTAACTCTGTACAATGCTCAAAAAAAGTGAACACCCACAATAACTTTTCATGTAATGATGGGATCTTTTCCCAATTCTTTAATATGAGTGGTTCCATGGCTTAACCTTAAATATGCTGAATAATTAGTACAGATACGATATAACGAAATCAACGATAATGAAAGAAACGAAATCAACAGGCATGATAAATTACTTTCTTTTTTATGACGGATTTAGATTTCTGAAACTCAAAATATGGGTTAGTAGTAATCTGTAAAGTATAATCCTAACAGTTTAAGCATGAGAGCAATCGAAAGTTTAGACCACTTAATGTTAAGATAAATTTCCGCTTATTTCGAAATACCTCGAGAACTAGTAAAGCAAAAGTTTTGCGCACAGCTATAAAATTCAATTATTCAGTCGAAATTAATATAAGAACTTGTGACAGCTGTACTTCATTTAAATTTGTAGATTTATTATATTTTTATTACATCACTGAAAATAATGAGAATGAAAAAGTGTTAAATATGTCCTAAGTAGCACATAATACTAAATAACATTAGTATTATGTGCTACTCGTTGCTTTCCTTATCAATTTCAGGATTATTAGAAAACCAGAAAATCGAACATTATTTTGCAAAACTTTTGAATATTAGAAGGATACAAAAGATCAATGTCTTTTCTGTATTATATAACGTCAGATTCTATACAAACTATATAATACTTTGCATCTAGTTTTGATGCCATATGATATTGTATTTTATATTTTCTGTTATTATCTTGCGTCGTTTTTTATTTTTGGAATAAGCGAGAGGAAGGTTTGGATGGTAGTAGAATGATTCGGCGATATAATTTTACTTAGTTTTCTATATTGTTGTAAAGTGGTAAAACATAGAACAGAAGTTCTATAATGTCCCTCCTCGCAAGCAATACACATATACTAAACAAAATAATATTACCTAATTCTGCTTCCATCCATGTTCATTCTTCTTACTCCAAATATATTTTAGTGTCCAACTGATTTTTATGAATGACTGTTTCAAATTTAACTAAGAAATAATGCTCGAGTAGGTAAACTTTTATTGATATACTTTTCTTTTTTTTATATTAAGCTTTTCCGAAATTTTTTTATCATTAATTACTTCCAGAGTTTTTTTTAAATTTTCAATGTAAATATGTTTTAGAAATTGAGCCAATGAGCTTGTAAGTTTAAAATAATTCTAAATATGTTTTAGAAATTGAGCCAATGAGCTTGTAAGTTTATAGAGCATATTTTATAAAAGTCTTCACGTTAGTCATTTGTAATTTTACAATTATCATCTAGATTTCTTATGAATTTGCCTTGAATCAGTTCTACTGTCTTTGGTGATTTTTCACTGATAATTGAATAAAGTTTCTAGAAAAAAAATATTATGCTGTATATAACAGAATGATAAAGACTACCATCACTGATATGCTCTAGTGGCAAAACTGAAAAAGGTGTGAAACTCTGTCGGGGTTCTAAACCGGTGAACAAATTAATAGATTGTAAATTTAAAATCTGATTGTATGGTTTTTAAATTTACCGACTTTATTGTCAAACAGCAAAAAAATTAAATCAATATTTTTCGAGAAATTTTACCATAGAGTAAGGCTAAATATAACCGTACTTTTTGCTTTTCCCATAAAATCAAAAACTTGATAAATTTTGCCTAATTCTGGCAGTTTTGACCATATTTTTTTCCCAGTGTATTTTTCCCAGTTTGATTTTTGCAAAAAAAATATCCTTGTAAAAACTTTCTTATAGAATTTTCATGTATATTGAGAAATGAAACAATATTTAAGAAAATTCTTTTTCGAATTAACGGCTTTGCATACTTTTTGTTTCAACTTAAGCTAATTAAACAAGAGACATTAGACAAAGTATTAATCTCTGAACTTTTCCTTTATTTGATAACAGTTTCCATAGCGAACATACAGAATTGTTATATACAATGGTCAAAGTCTACATTAATAACTCGACCCAGAAAAATTAACAAATTAATTCTTATGTCTACAACTGCAAACATGAAAGGGTGGTTTGCTAAAATTGTTGGTGGAATAGGAGGTGAAAAGTCAACAGTCATACCAGCTCCTTGGTTCGATTCATCAACTTCCAGAGCAGTCTTGTGAAGCGTTCCAGAGACAGCTAATCCTTTACTGAATGTCATGCCAGAAAAATCACCCGATCCATCGTATGCGCTTTCAGCTCCCAATGCTTCAAAATCCTTCGAAAAATCTCGGTAGTACTGGAATTTGAATTTCGGAAGAAGGACCATTGTCTTTTGAGACTGCAACTTGCTTAGAACGTTTACAATATTGTCAGGGGTCATACTCTTTTCTAAACATGCGAGACCATTTTTCTGCTGTGGTAATAAAATTAGTAAGCCAATATTTCCTCCAATGTATGGTAACAATAAAGCTTGATAATTATTACCTTTAAAGTAAGGGAATGAGTGGATAACTTGCATAAATGGAACATTCCTAAAATATATATTTTGAAATTACTCTCTCAATAAATACTGAATTCCCTTTATTAATTCCTGAATTCCTATTCATAATATATATATATTTCAAAATCGTATCAAAAATGAAGTAAAAAAGTGCATTTATTCGGGGGAATACATCAATACTCTTAAGGTAATAAAAAAGAAAAACCCAATTGAAATATTACTAACTACTCATGACGATTGGATTTAAGTACTTTCAAACCTGTTTGATTGCCCAAAGAAACGGAAAGGCATTTATTAGAAGCAACTTTAAGTTTTATCTGTCAGTCAGACAGGTTTTATTGTGCTTTTAATTACACTTTTTTTTAACTATGATTCATAAATTTCCTTAGTACTTACATCTTTGCTTAATCTGAAAATTGTGATCCCCAATATGTGAACTTTTAGACTTCATTTTCGATAAATATTCCAAAGTTAAGGATTAATAGTGGTGATTATAGATCACCCTGCGTAAGCATAAATAGATACACTCTTAAGTTTGGTAATTAAATTCAAAATAGGTCTGAAGGAATTTTTATTAAAATAATCAAAATATATTTTTCAATTAACAGGGAGGTTTCTCTCACTAGGCCCTCGATTGCTTCGCATTTATTACTAATTTTCTCTTAAAAGTCCATATTTTCACAAAAGCAAAGAACATTTGATAACTGATTATATAGTTATTATAATTTCATGTAAACTAAGAAGTTTTTATGTGAGAACGATAACCTAAACTTGAAAAGTAATCAGTACTCGAAAAGAACTAAAACTTAGGAATGCTTGGCCCCAAAAAATATATGAGATATAATTTTACTAACTAGCGAGACTTAAATTATTATAATTATTCAAATAAGAAATGGTTTTAACTCTCTCGAATTGTGTTTTTTATAAATTTTGAAATAAACGTTCGAATAAGATAGTGTTTTCTGGTAACATCTAATTTCTTTCTCTCTCTTCCTCTTTCTGTGAGTGTGCGTTTGTTGCTTTGCCACTTATAAGCTTAAGTACGGGCTTATATAATAGATATCTCGAGAGAGATGGAAGAATTTTTCCACGACAATGGACAAATAGTCATAACTTAAAGCAAAATAATTGAGAAAAAATATCGCGAAATAAGCATTTAAAATTGCAACAACGATGGAGCAAATTCTAATTTCGAAAAAAATCATGCAAAATTAATGAATGTGTATGGATGTGTATCCACATTTAGTTTTTAATACAAGTTGAACAGTTAAAAATTCACAAATTAATAATCGAAAGTTAAATTTTTTTTACTCCATTCACTACATTTTTCTACACACCTTTGCAATTTCAAATTTTTAAGTCTAGTTTTGTCAACAATATGTAACGCTCAAAAACACTCATAATCTAAACACTAAGAAAAAGCGGTGACTCTTACAGTTTTAAGCGAGCATAGAATAATACGAATATAGAGAGATGCTCATTCTCTCGTTTATGAACTGATTGTTTAAAAAAGAGTGTTTATCACCAAGGAAAATTATAAGATCGAGTATTAAATAAAAACATACATACTGTCTCTTATAATTTAGAATTCTCCCTATCGTTCTAGTTGAAAGATAGAGGTTATGACTATTCAGTAGACGTATCGATGTAATACTGGTTGGAAAGATAAGATGTATGTTTAAAGCCATACTCTCTGATTGCACATTGTATTTCGGTTTTATAAGCATTAAAATATCCGTATTTTCAAATGACAGATTTGTCTCTCCCTCTTATCATAAAAGCCACTGCTTCATTTGTTCAACTTTACATTCCAGTCTGATTTGCTGTGTAAAAACTATTAGACTTGAAATCTTGTAATTACGGAAAAATGAACTAGGAGTGCGACGAAATAAAAAAAAGATGTTCGCGAATTATTAGCTGTTAAACGTATAGTAAAAAGCTGGCCATGAAAACAAATTACTTAATCTCTCTTTTTAGGACTTGACACAGGTCAATTAAGCATATTTTTACGTAGAATCTTTTACCCAAACTGAGCCCTTAGCTACAAACACAATCTTTATATAAAATGAAACACCTTACTTAAATCTTACTTTGTTTCCGTTGGTGAGTAAAATGGTTGAGGTAATGACAAATAAGGTGGAAAAGGTGTCTCCCACTTTCCTTTAAAAAACGCAGCATCTATGAGTAGCGCAGATGAGAAAGAGTCCACACTATTTACAATACTATGAATTTTCCCATGTGTGTGTTGATTGACGAAATTATTGATACCACTAGTAACGACATTAGTGTTAAAAAAATTAACATTTTGAATGGTTGAATCATATAGATTTTGAGCCTCTTCTTGAAACTGAGAATACAGTGGAGCTCGATCCGTTACTAAAACTTCATCGGCACAATAAAGGGTATAATTTACTAGGTTTGGAATGTTTTCGGGCAGCATTTGTGAGAAGTAATAGTTGTAGGTTGATGGAACTTTATATAAAGGTAAGCCGGCTGCTTCGTAACCCAAAACAGAATACAGCTCCTGGAAAGTATAAATATTAATTTATTTGTTATCATACTTTTTAACAATATACGTTGGCTCACTGTGAAGATCACTACGGTACTGCGGCTGGAGGTGCCTCGAAAATTACCACGCATTTTTGAACTAATCTAAACTGGATCAACGACACTACGTAGATCAGCAACATGGATTACTCACTAAATTCGTAACATGGAAACACCGGTTTCACTATGTAGAAAAGACTGCTGGTCAAAATTTCAGTATTAATTGCAAACCCATGTAATATCTCATTATTTTTAAAATAGTTTAAATTCAAAATATATGATTGCTACTATGATGAAATAAAAAACTTCAATTTTGTTCAAACAACTTCAAAGTTCTTGCAAATGAAGTGTAAGATACAGTAAGACAGTTCTATGATATACAAAATAGCTTATTATAATACAGTGTCAATTGTAACACTATTTGTAAAAGATAAGTATTTTAGTGTTACATAATTGGATGTTCTACGTGACAATCAATGTGCTTTAAACTCTAATATTTTCGAATGCAAAGATTATAACGTTAGATTAAATAGAAATAAGAGTAACTGCGATGTTTTATGTATATGTATAGATAGGATTATCAAATAAATGGAATGTTTCTAAAACATGTCAGTGGGAAGTTATTAGGATTTAGTGGAATTTTTCAATAAACATTTATTACAAATTAGATAATAAAGTTAGTACTACGAGTATTGGTAGCTAATTTAGTCTCTTATTTAGTTTTGTATCAAACAAGCTTACTAGTATAATATATCAGAAAATGCTATTATTATAAGAACACTTTTTTAAAAAGAATATGCTTTAACTAATGAGCTCATTTGTGAAAAATAGTGTTTCTGCAGTTCCTCATTTGTTTTCTTCTAAAGAACACAAGGACCTCTAAATTGAAATATATCATATGAATTTAAATATTACATAGGATCTTATAAATGTAATAGATATTAAGAATGGCATTTCTTACCTTTTGGGTATTTCCTCTGGCTCCATATAAAAGTATTCCTAATCCTGTCAGTAAACTGGCGGGACAGAAGAACACATTGTCCGCATTTCCATTAATCAATCTAGGATAAAGTTTAGCGGCTAATATATTGTTGGCAACTGCAAACTTTCTTAGGTCCTCTTGTGATACCTCGGCTGAGCTCATCATAGCATGAGCGATGATAAGAAGGAACAAATTGTAGAAAACCATGTCTGTAATATATATTTCACATTATATTTTGGTTAACTAGAAGGTTGCCCTCGTAGTTAAAGATGGAGTTTTTAAAGCCAAATAATGGTGTAACTGCTGAGCAAAACTGAATCAAATCAGCATTAAAGGCTATTTAGACCACGAGGATTTGATTTTGAAAAATAAATAGTTTGAGGTACCTCAGGCAGGGATTAAAATGGCCTGAAATATTTTTTTTCGTGGGGATAAGAAAGTACATAAATTTAACATTTTCATATATTTTGGGTACTGGCACTTCAAGAAGATCACTGATAGTCTCACACGTGACCTATGACATCAGCTCCAGCAGATCGTTTATCAACAAAAGGGCTTGTTAGAGTTGAGCTAAAGCTCCCCGCATAAGTAAGAATGTTAATTGACGATAAGTTAATTAAATACAGCACCGTGTCGCGCATATAAATTGTTGAATTACAATACTTTCTGGTCTATTTCTTTTACTTAACGAAGATTTATTATTTGTTTGTGTATATTATTGCAACCGTGACATATTTTTGTTTAGTGTACCTGGCAACTTCGATGCATAATTAGTTTGTTAATGTTCTACTTGGCATCTGGTATATTTCTGTGTTAAGCCTCTGTGTACGTATACAGTTCGACAAACTATTATTGACGTCAACGATGCTTAATTAATTTTGGCAATAGTGTAATAATTGAAATAGAAAAAATAAGCTATGAACTGAGAAGAAAAATCAAAGGAGAAAACGTACTTATCATTTAAGGGGAATCAGAAAAATACGCCCTACTCCTATTGACACTAATGTTGCTTAGTTTTGGTAATAACATCATGATAATTGCTGAAGTCTTAATAGATACTAAATATGCTCTTAATTAGGTGCTAAGTATTTTATGAATAAATTCAACGCTGATTGCAGCTGCACCAATACTGCACATTTTAATGTTACATATCTTACGGCCTCTCGAAGATATGTGTACAATGGTAAATGGCCTCACAGTGGTGAATTTTTATCATGATATTGCTTCGAGCAACAGCATTATACCATATGATACTGAATTTATCTTTATCAGTCTATCTTCATTTTTAAGGGATGAACTGTTAAATAATGTTTTATTTTGCTTAATCTTATAGCGTAAACCAAACGAAACGGGTGTTAAATAATCTTCACATATCATAAATTAAAAATTGTGTGCGTCTATATACCGGATTAACGGGCCATGGAGTGTTCGGTGACCATCAAAGTAGACTTTTTAACAAATCCCCGGCATGCAATTATTGTGGTGAATTTCAAAATGTTGATCACTTGATTTTGCATTGCCCAAGATTCCGAACACTCCGTGGAAATCATTTTCAAAATTTAGATCAAGTTCAATGCTTTTCAAGCTCGACCTGCAGGGGTATAATTAAATCCATCATTAAACAAACATTGGAGGATATTCTAGAGGAAGTCTAATAATAATTCAGAATCCACGGCCTCTAATTTGGGTGTCTCAACCGTATCATGTTTTACTATTTTATTATTAATTTTTATAAATTTACTAATTTTAGACTTTGAGTTTTTAAATTTTTATTATAGTTTTTTTTTTTTAATTTGTCTTGGCCCGGTTATAGGTCATGTTTTTAACTACTTAGTCCTTTGTATTAGTGTATGTTGTTATTATGTTTCTTTTTAACTTTGGGACCTTTTTTATCGTTCCTTCTTGAGATTTAAAATTTTTTGTATTGTATACTTTTTTTTAATAGCGTAAGGGATCGTATTGGATTTTAATCTATTTATTTATTTATTTTTTTATAATGGCTCAGTTTTGGCAGATGTCATTGAGGTTATTCCTTTTTTTGTGTTGTTACTTGTAATGCTGTATTTTTTTCTGTCGGGCTGTTGCCACTGACATCCGTGATTTCAAGTTTCTGTGATTTTATATAATTTCTGATGTTTTATGTGTGTATAATATATGTTTTATGTATCTACACTCGCATGCCCTTAAATAGGGCAGGTCGAGTTATGAATAAACAATACCGGATTTCGGGTAAATGGCCGAGTCTGAGAGTACAAAATTCAACATGAAGCTAGAAGCTGGAATTGCAAACTTTTTACGAAGCCCGATTTTCGATTTTTGATCAGATTTTTAAATTCGGAGACATTTAAGAAATGAATTTTTTTCATTGGCTTAGAGGAAGCCATCCTTTCAAAATAAGCCATAGAGGATTCAGTTTCGTCAAATATTGTAAAAATAATACCAATGGTGTTTGCTATCTTCCATCTTTAATCAAAAAAATGTTTATTGCGCGTTCTGCAATTAATTATTTTTCATTGGCGAAATAATTGTTGTCATCAGCATGACATTATTTGTAACAGAAATGAACTATCATAATTCGCGATCGCAACGAACTATTGGGGGCGTTGTTGTATAAGACAACTGCGATTTCTATATGAACAGACATTCAGTTACTCTGGAGATGTCTTTAATGTAGCGTGTAGCATTGTAACGTTCCTTCTTTAATGTGGCTCATTAAATTTAAAAAAGAAAATTGTTTGATATTTTTTCTTATGCAAACGAAAATAAAATGGTATCTCGTTTTCTTTAAAGAAGGAACATCAAAAACACATCGGAAAAATATATGTAAATAAACAAAAAAAAATATTTATTTTCTTATTAGAGTTAAAACCTAATGTCTGAGAAGTAGTTTTACTAAATTTAATAATGGCCATTAACATGAAAGGCCTATTTAAACTATGCATTCCATAGTTTTAAGAATCATATTACTTCAAACATTAAAATAAGCAAAAAGTATAGGTACATAAGCCTCATAATTTTATACAATTTAATTTTGTAAAAAGAGTTTTTTGAGAACAATTTATATCAAAAAATTTTAAGCTTCAATAAAATCATTATTTAGAAACTAAAAAAAGTGAAATAAAGAATGGTCAAGAAATNCGTAAAATAAAGAATGCTTACCATAAAAAAAATGATTTTTAAAATTCCTCACATTGAAATAAAAAACTTTCATGTTTTTTTTTTTAATTTTTTTTTTATTCATAATTGGACGTAGAGAACCATTCTATAGAAAATTATCATCAAATAATCCTGGGAATCATCTTTTGGATTCCTCGTTGCCTTTTTGTTTGCTGATTTCTGAAGTCCTTTTTTAGTGCTACGAAATTGCGTCTTTGGGATTTGCCAAAAATAGAACCAGATGCAATTTTATTTTTTCTGGAGAAATATTTCACCATAAAAAACGAAAATATACTAATTTCCATGACATGAAACTTTATCTTGGTAAACGTACGTTTGGGAAATGTTATTTCATTTGGGACTTTATTTAATAGAGTTCATATGGCGATAGCATCAGAAGAAGATTGTTTTGAATCTATGTTGAACTCTATCTAGGCCAATTTTCCACTGAAATCCGAATGAGTACTTTGATTTTAAATGAACTGTTTTGAATTTTGAAATTGTTTTGATTTTAAATAAAATGTTTTATTTTATGATTTGTCGCAAAAATTTTAGGCGTAGATTGGCGGCACTTAAAAACCGCCAAATCAGTAGCTGTGGTGGCTTTAAAACGTAAGTACCGAATTTTTATACCATGCTTTTCTGAATCATATTACTTCAAACATTAGCATATGCAAGAAGTATACATAAACACATAATGTTATACCATTTAATTTTTCAAAAAAAGTATTTTGACAATAATTTTTATCAAAAAATTATAAGCTGAAAAACGTAAAATAAAGAATTTTTAGGATAAAAAACGTTTTTTAAAATTCCTCATCTTTATATATATTTTAATTATACGGTGACAAAAAAGCCTCATTGCAATTCCCCGAATGGCAACCGCTAGAAAATCGACCAATGATTGCCGCTAAAAATGTCGCATGCTAAATCTAGCTGAGATGGCTCAACATGTAGCGCTTTTGAAAACGGAAACTGAAATAACCAGAGAGAGCATTCTCAGAATGTGATCTCTTTCAAAATTCACCCTATCAGCTGCGGCAATCTCATACAGGCAGAAGTGAGCTAGGCAGAAGTTAGTAGTCTTCGTCGATAGATCTCTACTTTAGTATTTTGTCGAAAGCTCTTTTTTTCACGAATTTATATATTACGAATTTATTTGACAATTTTTGATTTATATCATGAATTTATTTATTTTATTATTGTTATTAGTTATTCATTAAAAAATGAGTCTCAGTCGTGCTGTTATGCTTTAAGATTTTATACTATAGCACATTTCTAATAGGTTTAACGAAGTACATGTCATTTATTTGAATTCAAATTTATTTTAATGACTTAGTATTTACTAGAAGCATGTTATTTTTTTTAAAAAAAAAGCTGTTATATGGATTTGAATCATTGTTTTGAATTCTTAGAATTTTGTGCATTTGCAATGTACCTAATTCAGTAGCGAGCGAAGCGAGCTTGGTTTGCGAGGCAAACCATATAAGATTGCGTAGCAATTTTCTGCGGTTGGTGAGCGTTAGCGAGCAGGGAGCGCAGCCCTCTAGTATTGAAATAAAAAACTTTCGTATTGTTTCTTAATTTTATTCTTATAGTTCTTAATCAGAAGTAAAAAATCATTCTGTAGAGAACTATCATCAAATAAGAAAAAAAAATTTTTAAAAGCTAATTTTTTATTATAAAAATCGCATCACTCACCTGCTTTATAAATCCGGAGAATTCCAAATTAAATGTTCTTCGTTTGAAAATTTTATTTTAAAATAATATATACGTAGATTTTTCCTTCATTATTTTTAGATAACATACCACACAATAAAATTTTATAATTGCAAGATCTCGATATGAATTTTAATAAGTAGCTTAAAAACAGAATAGCTAAACTCTAGTTGAAATTATTCTTTCAAAACTAAAAACTACTTACCAAGAAAACGATAAAAATTTAGTAATAATCAAGATCTTCGGCCTTTTCCTTAGGGAAATTTTGCATCTTATTTGCTGCTTAGAAAATGGCGTCTGACTCAGCTAATGATTCTGATGGAACTAAATGAAAACTTAATAAATAAGTGCCTGATATTTTCAGGTTCCCGTTAGAGGGCGTACTCAAGCGTTGCGATCGCGAATTCGAAATCAAAATTTTTTTTTAAAGTGAATAAATTTCTTAAATTATCTCCTGTCGAAGAAATTTTTTTGTAAACCTGTAAGTATATAGGTATTTTTGTACTTAATTTAATGCTAAATATATTTACATACTAGTAGTTTTTTTTATTAGTAACATAAATGATGATTAAATATGCTAAATCGGTTAAATCCTAGAATAGCCCACCTCTTGGCGACTTTTTGAAATCTCGCCAAGTTGGCGATTATTACATGGATCAACGTTGTTTTTATTGTTAAAAAATAATTTAAATCATTACTAATTTATTGAATTATTATTAATAAAATAAAAAAAATAACTTACCTACTCTGATAAACCAGATCTACCAGAAACCTGGTGATAAATACATAAATAAAAAATCATTAAATCATCAAAAATCAATTATTTGTGTCGGTATTTGTCCTAAAGTTTTGTGCATGATCTTGTAATGTTGCTCAGTACTGAGTAATTGATGCTTATTTTTTCATCTCTTACTCAAAACGGGTATTCAGCTAGTAATAATAAAAAAATCGTGTATAGTAATTATACGCAAAAAAGCGAATATTTTCTCTTTTTCTTCTTATACCTGTTATTGCTTTCCGTTTAAATCAAAGTTAATATTAGTTTTTCATTTTTAATACTCATTCCAAAATATTTTAAACCCACTTAAATATTTTTTTAATACATGGTTTTCTAATGACTAAGAAATACAATATTTTTTTTTTATTAAAGGCGAAAATTATACAATTCTGTAATTGTTGTATGACATGATAATTTAAAGAAGAATAAATAATTTTATCAACATTTAAATATTAAATAATGCAAATTTTTTTTTCATTAAACATTAACATAAACTTTGTCATAAGATCATTAAATTACCCATTGTCTGTGTCCAGTTTATTTCCTTATGGCGTTGGACATTTAATGGCAAACGTATATATAGGTTTAACCAAAAAAATTATATATTGTGTCTGTTTTACTAACTAAACGCATAATTATTTTCTGTTAGCAAGTACAATAATTCAAATAAAGCATCTGTTGGAGTTGAATTCGGTTATCATATTAAGTATAAACTTTTAAAATATCTATAGCATGAGCTAATTGTATAATCCGGCTTTTTGCGAATGGACGGCATCAGGTTAGTTGTAAAAATCTTCAGTATCTCTTGATCCGCCAAATATTATTTTAGATTTATTGCATTCCGCCTATAGAATGAATAATTAGCCTAAAGGCGCATGCCTTTAGGCTAATTTGAAAATCTGAGAATCATTAGTAAATATGACTAAATTTTCAATGGCTTAATGTAATAAACCTTAAATAAGGCTACATACAGAAAGCCTTATTTATTAAAAGTTTGTTGTAAATTTCCTAAAAGAAGTAAGGCTAAATGAGTTATGAATTATGTATTTTTTAAGTAGCCCAAAGGTGTGTAATGCTCACTTTAATAAGATTAAAATATGACACAATGCTGAATGCTATATATATTCGCAGAAAGTCTAATTATACAATTAGCCTATGATGTCTGCATTTTAAAAGTTTTTACTAACCATAATAAACCAAATTCAACTTCTTTAATTGGAACAGATTCTTTATTTGCATTATAAAATGACTGTGGTTGTTTGCAGACTTATTTAATTAACCTGCGACAGACATTTAAAATTTGTATTTACACCTCAAAGAAAAGATGAATTCCAATTTCTCCACGAATTTTAATTTAAAGGTGGAGTATTTTTTTAAATGAATAATTAGATTTGAACGTTTATAGATTCTGAAATTCTACTGAAATCTACGTCAGCTGTGAAAAAAATAAATGTATAGTTCAGTACCTATGCTGAAAAAGCTATTCAAGTTCTCAAACCTTTGAAGAAAAATTTAGCTTTCATTTGAAACATATACTAACAAATTATTGCTGATAAAAAAGTTACTTGAATGATTTATATGACAATAATATTTAATTTTTATTCGTGAATGTCTCATAAAAAAAGCATTTTTTCTCCTAAAGAAGTTGTATTTGGTTTATATTATTCTCATCAGACAAAATACCGAAATTGAAATGTAAGAAACTTCTATTAACTTATATCTGTTTCTGCAAAATTAATAACTAGTTCCTTACCTACGTTGAGAAGACTAGATCCAAGAAGAATTTTTCTAGATTAGGTCCACGAAGAATTTCGTTTCCATATGAAGAAAACGCTATTTAGGCACTGTAATGTAATAATGTATTTTCGTGACTTATATGAATCTTCTCTCGTAAATGCCAATCAATTATGTTGACTTCTAGGATTAATGACATCAAAAAACTACGATCTAACCTTCGAAATTTTATCATAATTAGTATCTTAATAGTTCAGTCGACTTTTTAAGTGAAGATTTCCATAAAGCTGATCAAAATGTTTCCGTTATAATATATCTTGTTTCTCAGCTGTTCAAAATTCATTTTTTGTCTTACAAGCTGACTCATTTGGCATGTGATTGAGAAAATCTGTGTCGTCAAAAAATTGACTTTAAAAATCTCCATTTAATATTTTATTTGAAATTATAATTTCGAAAAGTGAGAAAATATTAATTTAGGAACCTTCGGACTATTCGTATTCCAATGAAGTCAAATAAAACTCTCACGATATTAAAAATGTATTAAAGAGTTTAATACGAATAATTACAATCGAATATAACAAGTGCTAATAAAAGTATAGCAATTTAATTGCTTATTTTGGTTATTTTATTATTCATTAAAAAAAAGTGATTAGAAAAAAAACATTAATAGCGATATTTATATACCTCTCTTCTTGCATTAAAAAAAAGTAAGATAAGGATAGTCTTTTCTCTCGTAAATTCTTCTCAAATATTAAAGCTCTCAAATTGTATTGCAAGGAACAATTCGAAAAAAATCAAATTGGCGATTAAAAAATTTGCATATAGAAATAAAAAGTGCTTATTTAAAAAAAATTTCTAACTCTGTACAATGCTCAAAAAATTATCTAAACACAATAACTTTTGAGATAATGATCGGATTTTTTTCTAATTCTTAGGATTTAATGTTAATGGTTCCATGGCTTAACCTTGAATATGCTAAATAATTAGTACAGATAGGATATAACGAAAGCAACGAAATCAGCGATAATGAAAGCATCGAAATCAACTGACATAATAAATTACTTTCCTTTATATGTCGGATTTGGATTTCCGAAACTCAAAATATGGGCTAGTAGTAATCTGTAAAGCGTAATCCTAACAGTTAAAGCAGGAGAGCTATCGAAAGTTTAGACCACTTTATATTAATATAAATTTCCGCGTATTTCGAAATACCTCGAGAACTAGTTAAGCAAAAGTTTTGTACAGTCCGCAAAAAAAAAAAGATATCACCCTGAATAACTTTCGTTCTAATGATCGGATTTTCACGAACTAAGTGTTAATCTTAATGGTTCTTGGGGGTGACCTCAAATATGCTAATTAATTAGTGCTAACTATTAATTAAGTTACGAAATCAGACACAAAAACGTACTTTCTCTGAATAAACATATATTTTTTCTTACATATTTGGATTCTTAACCTTCAAAATATAGGGGGTAGCCGCAATCTGGGAAATATGGTCCCCATAGTTTGGTCAGGAGAGCGATCCAAAGTTC